AGTCTCTCTGTAACTCAGGCTGGCCTTGAACTCACCAGGTATCCCAGGCTGGCCTTGAACTCGTAGCAATCTTCTTGCCCTAGCCTCTCAAGTGCTGGAATTACAGATGTGCACCACCACACTCGGCTTTTCTTCTTTTCTGAATAGAAGAAAACCTTTTCTATCCTGAGATAGTCTTACCAAAAACCTGATCTATACAAAGGTGGAACAATGTCTGAGCTGTTATTATTTTTATTATTATTTTTTAATTTTTTTTTTTGGCAGAACCAGGGATTGAACTCAGGCTCTTGTGCTTGCCAGGCAAATACTTATTCTACTGAGCCATCTCCCCGGCCCCTGAGCTCTATTATTTGAACATAGAATAAAAAATAATAATGTGAATCATTTTTGTATAAACCAGATGATGGAGATATACATAACTGACGGGCAGCTTGTCACAGGCAGCTGAACTGAATCAGCGTGGTGCTGGGTGTGGAAGGCCCACCTGAGGGTTGTTGCCAGCAGCGTAACAGGAGAACGGGAGGGCAGGTGGCGCTGCTGGCTCTCGTGGAGAAGCTGTGTTTCCTTATATGAACTCAACTGTCCTCGGTGGCGGAGGAGATCGTGTCCCTGCTTTCACTGAGGACGGCTTCCGTTCTCTTTGGGGGGAGCTCTGGCCCTTACCTCGAGCACTGCTTCCTGGCTCCAGTGCGGACCCCCAGCCTGCTGGCGCAGATCCTTCATCCTGCTGGTGCACGTTCTAGCTTCCACCCCGACCTTGGAGCCGTCCAAGCACAGACCTTGATGCAGACCTGCACGAGACATCGTGGTGGGCTCTGGACCCCCAGCTGGGCGTGGGGGGGCACTGTCGTGGGCTCTCGGTCTTCAGCTGGACTCGTGCAGGGCACTGCCGTGGGATCCAGGCCCTCAGATGGACTCCTTGAGGTGTCCGTACTCTTTCGCACTTGACTCTTTGGGTGAATGTTATAAAATAATCTGAGAAATTATTTGTCCTGTATTAAAACTTTTCCCTTGTAAATGCTGACTATGTCAATAGGTATATAAGATATTTCTAGAAAATTCTTTTAAAACACCTAACAGCAGTTTCCTCTGGAGATGGAAACCAAGGGAGAAAGAAAATGGAAAGTAGATTCATTTTTCACTATAAACTCTTTTGTATTAATTCAGTATTTCCCTCTGTTGTGTATGTTAACATTCAAAACTTATTTAAAATTTTTATTTTTGTAGTGTTGGGGATTGAACTCAGGGCTCTGCACATGCCTGACACACATCTGACCACTGAGTTACACCCTAGCCCTTAGAAATTTTTAAAATAAAATTGAGCCCCTAGATACTTCTGAGGGAAGCTGCCCCACGTTGGCCTCTCCCCTCGTTCATACGGGATCTGTTTCCACAGCAGGCGAAGCTGGACGCCCAGCTCCGGAAAGAAGAATTCTACAGGCCAGTCCTGGACCCCAACCCCAAGCTGGCAGATGGGTACTCTGCCTTCAAAAGACCCCACATGACTGCCAGAGACCTGGGGCTCCCCGGCTTCTTCCCGCCACAGGACAGTGCGGCCAGCGAGGACGAGCGCCCGTTCAGCAGCACCTGCCCCTCGCGGTACCCGGCCTCCCTGGCCCTGCACCTGGCCCAGGGGCCCCCGAACCTGCTTCAGCAGAGCACCTGCTTCCCCTGCCTGATGGAGCCCAAGCACCAGCCCGCTGCCCATGAGGGCCGGGGCTACCTTCTCCTCCCTGGCTGTCCCTGTCCTCGGCACCAGAGCGCCAAGGTCCCCGTCTTGTATCGCTGGGGGCCCCTGATGCCATTTTATCAGTAGGAAGAGGGTCGCCACGTGCCAGGGGCTGTTCTTAGGGCTCAGGGATGTCCTGGGCTGCTGCTTAGTTCAGAGGGACCGGGAGGGGAATTAAAAATTAACCCAGAAGGGTGCTCCAGCGGCCCTGGGGCTGCAGTCAGTTGGCATCTGCGGCCTCATTGCAGAGGGAGGGAGGGAGGGACGTGAGCGGAAATTCAGGGCTGGGGCTGACTTGCTGTGGGAGGTGGGGGTCCCTGGGGTGTGACCCGGGAGGAGAGGGTCTCCCTCTGCGGCCTCCTGCTCTGCTTCTGGCTGCCACCCAAGGGTTATTCTTACGCAGCCCCCTCAGCCACGCCACTTCTGCCTACACTGGACCCTGGGCCTACTCCTTTACCTTGTGGGTACTTGGCATTTTGTCCCAATGATAAAAGTGATGAAGAAAACGTCCCTCGGGGTCCCCACTGGGTCGGACCCTTGGTGTGAAGCACCTTGCCTTCCAAGCCCCCTCTGTCCTCTGCACCAGGATGGGCCAAGCCAGGGGTTCCGTCCCCCAGCTTATCTTATTAAGTCCCTGAGCTTCCCATGGAGCCAATATAATCATTCACATTTTGTAGCTGAGCAAATCAAGGACTCAAGGGAGTTGGCCAAGTGTCACCCAGGTGGTGGCAGGGCTGAGAATTGAAGCTTAGCTGATTTCCTTTTTGCAGTCTCACGTGTGGTGGTGCAGGCCTGTGATGCCAGCTCTCGCGAGGCTGGGGGAGCAAGCTTGTCCTGAGCTCCAGGCCAGCCGGAGCTACAAAGTGAGACCCTGTCCTCCACAAACAAATTCACTTTTATTCAGTTTTCTTAGGTGTAGAATGAGAATAAATGCGGGGGTGGGTGGGTGGGTGCTGTAAACCCAGCATTCTGGGAGGCTGAGACAGGAGGACCAGTAAGATTGAGTGCAGCCTGAGCAATTTAGCAACTGAAATTCTGTCTCAAGATAAAAAATGAAAGGACGTCAGATGTAGGTGAGGACAAAGGCCTTGCGTCCAATCTCCAGCACCACAACAAAAGAGGGGGGAAAAAGAGGGGGAGGTAGGGGACCCCTGCACATTTATTTTTTTTTATTTTTTTTAAATATTTATTTATTTGTTTGTTTGTTTATTTAGTGTGTGTGTGGCCAGCTCAGCCCACCAGGGGGCGGGCCTGGCTGGCATGTGGTGCTGGGGATTGAACCGCGGTCCCTGTGTTTTGCTTAGCTTAGCTTGTTCTAAGTAGGTGCTTTAGACCACTGAGCCATCTCACCAGCCCCCCCCCCCTGCACATTTACTTCAGTCATTTAAGGTACACAGAAGAGTGGAGAGCCGGCAAGACAGCTCAGTGGACTAAAGCGCCTGCTTAGGCAAGCGCAGGGACCGCGATTCCATCCCTGGCACCATATGCCATGCCAGCCCCTCCCCGAGCGCTGGGGAGGCTGACGCAGGAGGATCACTATGAGTCCGAGCTGCATAGAGAAATCTTGCAACAACCAAATACATGAAAACAAATACATTTTAAAAAACAAAAAGAATGGACATAAATGCATTTTTAAAACTCTGAAGGTTAGTAAGATATTCCTTGTGATTATTAATATAAAGGAGAATGACTGGCTCCTCTTTTGCTCCTTCCTGAGGCTACCCCACCCCTCCATTGTATCCCCCATGGCTGGGCTTTGTCATTCCCCCCCGCCTGGGGACCTCCACCTCCTCTCCTCACAGAGACAGGCTGGGGACTGGGAGGCGCTGCTGACAGCCTTGGCAGGAGGTTACCCTGCGCGTTTACAAAACACAGCCACTGATGATGCTATCTGCCTTCATTCTTTTGTCGGTGGCAGAGGAATTCCCACACCCATTTCACAGTGGGGACCAGTGACAAGGGGCAGGGCTCAGACTCCAGGCTTCTGTTGCAATCTGGCATCTTCTACAACCAGGGATCTCCCCTGAGCATAGGGGCCCCTTATACAGCAATGAAAAATAAACCTACAGCACAGAGATACACAATTTTTAAGTTAATCTTATCCATTTGGGAAATGTTCACTTGACATGTATTTGTTGGGCATATTCTATGTGCTGAGAATACAGAAAAAATAAAAATAATAAAACTAGAAGATCGCTTTCCATTTGGGGAAAAGGACAACTAAATCTAACATGGTGTGTTGAAAGGGAATGAGGGAAATAAAAATCAGGGTGGGCAGGGAGGACCAGGCACGGGGACAACTTCGAAAGGTCCCGAGCAGCATTCACTGAGCAGGTGCCATGGACCACATAGGAAGAACTTCTCACCCCGCAGAGTGGGTCCAAGGGGCAGGAGGCGCAAAGATCCCTGGGAGGAGTCTGGCAGGCAGGAGGAGGCTCAAGAGGTCCCAGGGCTCCCTCAGGTTTCCTACAGACAAGTGCGGCATTGTGCAAGCTTTGACAATTCTCTCTCTCTCTCTCTCTCTCTCTCTCTCTCTCTCTCTCTCCCCCTCCC